AGTTACTTTTCTCTCACAAAATACCTGACACCCAAAGTTAAAGGGGAAGGGGTTTATTTGGCTTACAGTTCATAGAGGTTTCAGTCCATAGTCAGATGGTTCCAAGACAAGGATGGCAAACAGGCCTCGCAGAGGAGAAACAACAATGGTAAGAACAAGGTAACAAAGGTAAGGAGAACTTTACCACATCTTTCTACTTCTTTCATCCCAACCAGACTACCAGGATCAGGGCAGTGCCAAACCACTCACTCACATATAGTGTTGTAGCAATCACACGCCCTTAACCCCAGCATCACACATTCCAGATTCCACTACCTCTGACCACGAGATTTTGGAGGGACATCCAGACCTAAACCACAACATATGGTGTGAGATATGGGTCTATTTTATCTTCAATGGTTACCCAGTCATCTCAGCACCATTTATTTTAAATTCCTTTACCCCACTGGCTTGAAATACCACCTTCATCATATGCTAACTGTCCTGTACTTGTTATCTATTCCCAGGATCTCTGTTCTGTTCCACTGGTCTATTTGTCTATCCATGTGCTGATACCATACCATTTTAATTACAAAGGTTTTACAGTGTGTTTTAATGTCTGGTACAGCTATTCCTCCATCATGGTTTTTTGTTGTTGTTGTTGTTTTGTTTTCTTTTACTTTTAACTGATTTATTATTCCTGTATGAACTTTAGTTTTTTCTATATAAACTTTTTAGTATAACATGTCTAACTATAAAATAGTCTGTAGTATTTTTATTAAGATTGTGTTAAATAGCCGGGTGTAGTGGCACATGCCTGTAATCCCAGCGCTTGGGAGGCTGAGGCAGGGGGATCACTGTGAGTTTGAGGCCAGCCTCAGTGACACAGTGAATTTAAGGCCAGCCTGGATTACAGAGCAAGGCCTTGCCTTTAAAAAAAAAAGTGTTAAAATTTAGGGAGAACTAACATCCTTACAATGTTGGGACACCCTATCCAAGAATGGGAGATGTCTTTACATTTGTCAATCTGAGTGTTTTTCAGGAGTGTTTGGCATTTTTCTGGTATGGTTTTGTATTTTTTTGTTAAATTTACTCTGACGTAATCATCCTTACTGCTACTGTAATGAAAACCCTTCCATTATGACCTGTTTATTATTTATATCAATTTTATATAGTTACTTCACTGAAATTGTGCTAGTTTTATTGACTCTTCAAAGTATATTAGCATAATGAAGTTAATTCTGCACCCCATCAGAAGGGGATTTTGAGGCTGCTGGTGCCCTCCTTCCTGGGTGAGGGATTTTCTCACGGATATTTTGAGGAGCTGAGTTGCCGGGCCTATGGTCATCCTGTTCACCAGTGTGGATCTGGCACAGTGAATGCTTGGGGGTTGGGGGCTGGAGAGGGTAAGGGCCTGCTTGTGGATAGCCTGGTGCCTCCAAGCTGAGTGGCTGGCAAGGATGTAGAGATGTTTTCCCCACACAGCCAACAGAGAAATCTGTTTTGAAAATATAAATGCAGGACCCAAGGCCTGGGCTTATGGGGCACCCAGCCATAAACCTCTCCTTCTGGGAATCTTGCCAGTGAAAGTGCAAGTCTGGTTGCCTCTACAGCAGTACAGAGTGGAGCAGAGATCAGGAGGAGGCAAGCCTATTGTCATTCACTTAACTCCCCCTTCCTTGTCTGTCTAGCCCTTCTCCTTGTGAAAGAGAAAACAGAGAACTAGGGTGCAAGGGAAAAAACAGGATCAGAGAAGTGAGGTGACCTGCCTGAGGCCTCACAGCCGGTAACTAGAGAAACTGGGATCCCAGATCCTGTTCTGACCCCAAAGTACAGGCCACATTCACAAAGTCAAGTAGATCCCAAAAGGTAAGATTCATGGGTCATTGCTAATTTTTCTAAGATGAGCCTGGAATCACCAAGTTCTGCTCATCCTGCACACCTCTCTGTGCACTACAGAAAGGGCAAGTTAAGAGGTCACCTGGGCCTGTGGAGAAAGGTTTGCCAAGAAAAGTGGGGACAGACTAAACAACCCTTGGCTTAACGTGAGGAACTCCAAGGCATTATTAGTACAAAAAGAGGTGTCGGGTTCCACACCCTGAGAAGCAGCCCCATCTCTGCCAGTCCTCCTCATGCTACAGGATGCTAGGTGTGGAACCAGAGTTCCCAGGAAAAATGGGAACATTTTTTAAAAGACCAACTATCGGTCCCATGATCTATAATTACAAAAAGGCATGAGGCTTTTTTCAGAGGTAATCCCAAGGGTCAGGCCTGTGACCCATTCCTGTCAGGTCACCCATGATGCCCGTTAATCTGACAGCACACATCCAAGCTGTGACAATGGGTTTCTTAGTGATGTTACTGGGCCCACCAGCTGTATTGTGGCCTAGTTCTTCCAGGCATGACTGCTGAACTAACATTTACTGGGCACTTGGTGCATACCAAGCCCAGGTCTGGGCCCATTCCACATCAGGTGAATTTTCCTCACAACCCTGAAAAGCAATGCTCCTATTCAACAGGTAAGATAACCAGAGCTCATGAGAGGTTGAATGGCATTTTCCTTGAATTCCTGGATACGCAATTCTTAAAAAGTGTAAAACTAGAGCAGTGGTTCTCAAGGGGGGGGGGGGGGGGAATCCCTGGACCAGCAGCCTCAGCATAACCTGGAACACAGCTAGAGAAAAAATTCTGACAGGCTCAATTAGAAAATGTGCGGATGCAGCCTGGCGATCTGCATCCTAACAAGCTCTCAAGTGACTTGGATGTATCAAAGTTTGAGCTGAGCTCAAGATCCCAGTGGCACAGAAGCCAGGGAGTCAGCAGCAGCCGGGATCATCTAAAGCAGAACTTCCCAAAGTGTGTTCCAAGGAACGGTAGTCCTCAGGTTAGGAGTTCCACAGGCAAGTAAGTTTGAGAGCCCCTGGTTTAAACAAGGCTTAACAAGGCTTTTTTCTTTAACTGCAGGACTCCCTTTTATCTAGATTAATGTGTCCTGGGCACCTAGGAAAGTATGAAAATGGTTTCCCAAACTTCCAGGACTATAGATCCCTCTTTTCTCAAAGCACCTATTACCTATCTCCCAGGGTACCCGTGTTCACAGAGCCCAGTCTGGTAAGGACTAGAGTCTTGAAGGAAGAAAAGTAGAGAAATCCAGAAAATCAAGATCATTCTGTGATCAAAATGCCAGCACCTCTGGGATCCCAGGAGATAGGCTTTCTCTCCCCTTCTGTTTAATGACAGCTTTGGCCCAGACTCCCTCTTATATAAACCAGAGGAACATAAAATTCACTCCAGCACCGGGGGGAGCCACAGGGTCAAGATGAAGAAAGTTTGTGCCAGTGACCATGAGGCTTTTGGTGACTAATCCTGTTCCAGCCTAGCGGAGTCAAGCAATGTATTACTGTGTTCTCATCAATGGAAGGCTGAGACTTTCAAGAGCCTATCAATTATTTTAGTAACAAACTCTTTAGGGTGGACAGAACAAGGGAATGAATGTTACTCATTCCACAAGTACATAAGCATTTAAAGGGAGCACCCACCCCTCACCCCAGGGCTCCAGGAAAACAGGTAGCCCAGGTTCAGCAGCACCAGAGGGTAGATGGGTTTTAGAAACATTTTTTATGTGCACTGTGCTCTTCCCTGGGTCTGATGGTGGGAGTCTGGGGCATCCAGGGGAAGATGGACTTTACTCCAGGCAGAGACACATCTCATGTAGGCCAAGGGCTCGTATGAAATGGAAGAAGCAGAAAGAGAAACTAAAAGGTGAACAAAAGCTAGATGTCATCATTTCCCAGCGTTCACATCACTCATTTGTGAATTTGGTCACTTACATCATAGGAACAAGGACAAGGTGGTCTCACTCCTTGGGCTACACCTTGCATGAGGCAGGCTGAGCCATTACAGCACAGAATGGGGAGGTGATGTGCATGGGGCCAGTGGGCACCAAGTGCTGCAGTCAGATCTTGTAGCCCAGTCTGTGGGTGCTGACCTCCCTCTTGCCCCCACCACTTCCCCCCAAGGCCTCTAGCAAAGTTCTGACACCTTGCTTATGCCTTGGAAAGGGTCACTGTCCAAATTAGAGTGTGAATGGGGAGCAGCCGGCCCTGTTGCCAAAATTGGTCAGACAGGCGCTCTGGCCGCCATCCTGGACAGTTAGGCCCCTGGAGGAGGAAGGCCATGAACCAAGAAATGAAACCTCCAGGAACAAGGAACAGAAAGAAAGAAAAGAAGAACCTGAACCATGACAGCCACAGAGCCATCACCCTACCCTTAGACCACCGAGCTACACGCAATTGTTCCATAGGAAAGATAAATGAATTTCTGTCCTATAGATTGGTTTTTTAAATTACCAGGAATAGAAAGTATTTTGAATGGCTCTAATCATACACTGTACTTGTAAAACCAAAAAGCTTAAATGTAAATTGGAATTATTTCACTAAAAATGCAACTAGAAGAAAATGTACATACTGCTCAACAATTTTTTTTTAAAATTCCCAAAAGTCAAAGCAGCTGAGGGGGCTCTGAGTATGCTGACTACATCCCACCGATCCCCAGGCTCAGTAAAAATGGGGTGACACCAGCAGTTCTGAATGTCACTGCCCTAGCCTACCCCTTTGGCTCTTCAGCAACGCCAGCCCTGCCATGCTCCTGCCAGCCACTCTCAGGAGGTCGTAGCAAGGGCCTCCCTGTTTCTAAGATGAGGCCTGTCATTCCTGTCCTGTGCCCTCCACCGTTTTCTAGCCCCGGCTCATGGCCCTGGTAGTGTTTATACCTGCTGTGTGTCCCCTGCCTGCCACACAGGACAGCAGCTCCTGGGTAAGCTGGCTGTGGCCATTTCAGGTGTGATCTCTGGGGCTCAAGGAGTTCACAACCAGTTCCAGCCCCTGCTGATGCACACAGCCTCCTTCAGGCACCAGCGGGCTCTTTTAGGAAACACAGTGTTTAAAAAATAAAAACACATTACCCTACCTGCAAGAGGGTCCTACAAGGAGCTACAGCACTGTAAAGGAAGCACTCAAAAATTAACATCAAGATTTAGGTAATGATTTATTGGCTATCACAAATGAGGATAAAATTACATTTCTCCCCAAAACAGATGCTCAAATTGAGCCAAGGGGAAGATATTGCACTGTTCATTTACAATTGAGGAAAGAGGAAAGTATTGCACCATTCATTTACAAACTCCCAAAGACTGCCCAGCATGTCCAGATTCCTGATAGCAAAGACGCCTGCCTTCTCCAGTTTCCTGGGTATCACCAGCACATGGATACAGGTGCTGATGGACATAGTACCCATGCTGCCCCTGGCTGCTATCCCCATTCAGACAACAAGGACTATGAGTTGGAATCCTTGACTTCTTAGTGCTCTCTCTGGGACTGGACCTCCTGGTACCTGCAGAGGCACAAGAGTCCACATTCACAGGGTGGGAGAAGTGGCCTTCATTTATAGATGACTGACCGCAGCTGTGCTCCTCCAGTTAATAACTCACCTGTGCTCCTGCCCAATCTTCTCCAGGTCCTCTCCACCCACCTCCAGCAAAACTTCCAGAGCCTTTGTTTGCAAACCCTGATTTTGCTGTTCAGACCGCTCTCAAAGAATGCTCTTCCTTTCTTTTGCTTCCTACTTGGTTTAAGAGGCAGCTGGGCCTTCAGTGCCTTGTCACAGCTGAGTGAAGTAAGATTATTTTCTGAACCTGTAAAGATGGTTTCATGCTCTGTGGCTCAAGATGTTCCTCTGGGTGGAAAAAAACTCTCAGAAAGACTTGAGGCCACTGTGTCTCTCTGTGGACCATAAATGCTATGTAATTCCAAAGACAAAGCTTCTCACACAAGGACAGAGGAAGAGAGCTTCAGAAACCAGGGCTGGAGTCGCGCGGAACACACAGCGAATCAGCCTGCTGCAGACAGGCAGGTCTGTGCACGCCCTACCGAGGTCCTGAGTCATGCGGAAGACGCCGAATCACCCCGCTGCAGACAGGCAAGTCTGCCTACACCCTACTGAGGTCCCCAGTCCCATGGAACATGCCGAATCAGCCCGCTGCAGACAGGCAGGTCTGTGCATGCCCTACCAAGGTCCTGAGTCACAGGGAAGACACCGAATCACCCCACTGTAGACAGGCAGACACCTGATTCCACATTACAAAGGCACAGAGGACACCAGACCACCAGACCAAGGTACTGAGTCCCACTGTTCCCGGCCCAGAGGTAGGGGCTTCTGAGCCGGCGTCCCACTGCTCCTGG